AAATAAAGTTTAAGATGATTAAGAAAAGAATTTGTTAAAAACCAAAGATTATAAGCTTGAAATATAAAGAATTGTAGTTGACCGATTATAGGTGGGCTTATAAATATTGTTAATAACTTGGAATCTAAATTAAGAAACGGAATTAAAAAAAGTAGTTGTAATAATAGAAGATATTGCATACAAAGTCACCCATGCGCTTTTAAAAGTCTCACTGAAGTGCCGTTTGTGAGTTGTACTTCAAAGGTTAACACAACTAGTGATTATTTCGTTTTCGGTAAGTTAAATAATAGGATTTGTATATTTGGGCTTCACTCGCTTTTCAACATGAGTTACAATAGTTATAAAACTGCGAAAGAATATTCTTTAAAGATTGTACCTGATAAGAAAGCTTACCGTGTATCTGGAGGATATCTTTAAGACACTGTAGGGAGTGTAAGTCTTAGGCTATATATAAAAGGTAAAGAATTAAAATATGAATTCAAAGTTCTACTTCATGAACTACTTGATGGTATTGGCGTACCACTTGGAAGAGTGATAATGAGGTTTTTAATCGTAAACTAGTGTCTCTAGAGGATTTTGAAGTGATAACTTCTAAGGATACTGTAAATAGTGTAGTGTGTGAGTCTTTTATTAAATATGAAAGCTGAAGAAATTCATTTAAAGATAAAGGTAAAGAATATACTATTACGGAAAAAAGAGTTGAGCTAGTCATAAAGGAATTTGATATTGAAAGAAAGCTAGGTGGTTTAAAGGTTTTACTGACGTGAGCGCCAGTTATCTATTTTGAGATGCGCAGAACTAAATTAAAAGTTGATTAGAGAATAGGCGAATTGTATATATGCGCTTAAATGGGCTCTCCCCCACTCAAGAATCTGTTATGAAACTGAAAGCCCTAAGAGTAGATTAGTAAAAGGGAAACACTCCGGTTTGAAACACATATGTTAAAGATAAAGTTAAGCGTAGAGTTATTCAAGAGAGTGCGAGAAGTTATAAGAAGAGGGATTTTTGGAATTAAGCAAACAATTACCACTGGCGTCATGGACAGGTCGTGGTAGCTAAACCTGGTTTAGAGTATACTACTGAAGAAGAGTTACACAGAGAGCCCGAGACCTATATAAGAATGTGCGATGATCTAAGGGGTTAAATGAACAATGCACTCTTAAGAAAATAGTGTCTCTAACGAGAAATAAATAAATATGAAAGCTAGAAACAGCAAGTAATTAACACTTTGGATAATGCCAAAAGCTCTACCAAAGAAAATTAGATAAAAAATGCGGAAACTACTTTGCATTTACAATGTCAGACGGTCGCAGGGCGCAGTGGACTGTTCTTCCATTTGGATATAACAATACATTATTTGATTACCAGAATGAGATGGGCATTGTAACCGATGAACTGAAAGATACATATACCTATGTAGATGATTGCCTGATATGCAGTGAGAATAAAGTAGAATCATGACAACCCCAAATGTAGTCTGGTAGCAAGATATGAGAAGCTTACTATTAAATTAAAATTTGAAAAATGTAGACTTGTGAAGTCTACAGTAAAGTGGCTGGGTAAAGAGCTCAGTAGAGGAGGCTATAGAATGAGCATTGAGCGGATCAGGCTTTTAAAAATATGAAACTTCCTGAAAAGAAGAAAGAATTAAGTAGCCTTTTACAAATGCTTAACTACCGGGGCATGTATATTCTAAGTCATGCCATCACCTTAGAACCACTCATTTGACTTAAAAACGCAAGGTTCAATTTGGGTGAAGAGCAACAATCTGCATGGGCTAAGGCGCTGAGGGTATTAGAAAAGCAGGGTTTGTGTAGAACAGGTTAAGGTCAATTTTGAGTTAATCTTACAAACTGACACAAGTGAAATAGGTATGGGAATAGACCATCCGCAGCGTTATGGTGGGAAAACGCATTATGTAGCCTTGGTAAGTCCTAGGTTCAATAACTCACAAAGGAACTACAGCACCACTGACCAAGATGCGCTAGGGGTGCCCTGGAACTAATGGACCTAACTAAGATGAGTGGAAGTAGATTAGTAGATGAACGGGACTATAGAGGTTTACTGGCTCTTTTTAATAATGACAATGAAAATGATTCGGTCAAAAGGGAACGTATTAATAGATGGAAACAGATAATGAATTCGTTTACATGGACTTTGCGATATCTTCCAGGCGCTGAAAACGAAATGGCAGATAATTGCCTCGACTGGTGCTAGAAGATAGTCAGTCCAGTGAACCTAAAATTACAGGAAGTATGGGGGCGTCTAATACTAGTGGAGATATATGCAATAAATTTATTTACAAGGTGTATGTGAATACTTTTCACACCGGAAGAAAGAAACTAAGGGAAATTTTTAAGGCTTCTAAAGGAATAAACACTGTGAGAGATGGAGTGGTCAACAATAATGATATCTGTCAGAAAATTGCTAATAAGTCTCACACTTAAAAAGGAACCCAGCAACAAACTGGTAGGCTCAAGCTACCGTTTTACTGTTCTTCATATGGATGTTAATAAACTTCCCTTAACCAAGTCTGATTTTAAAAGTATGTTAGTTATAACTGATAAATACTCTCGTTACATTTGGTTTAAAAAGCTGTCCAGAACATCCACAGGCGAGATACTAGGAGCACTAGGAACTATATGTGAGATGTAAAACCCTGCGGAAGTTATAATGGATAAAGGCTCCGTATTTTATTAGTGCTGAATTGCAGAAATTTATGAAAAAGTATAATGTTAGCCATCATGTAGTTACTGTCGACCGCTATCAAAGTAATGGACTGGCAGAACGTGCTAAAAGAAACCATAAAAATGGCATTAGCAAAAAGATGTTACAAAGCACACATTGAATGGGATAATATATTGGTGATTATATTTATTGTTATAACAGGTTACCCAATGGTATGGTAGCCTCACCCAGGTTTATGCTTTTTAAAACTCCAGTTGGTTACTCTATATTTACCAGAAATGACAGTCAGATACAAGGACATTATTGAAAGTGCTAACTCAGAAAAAGTACTGGATTATGGTATTGATTACTTGAAAAACTTGAGAGGCGACAAGACTTACACGAACTTAAAATGCGAAGGTTTCATCGTCTATAAAGGTAGGTGATGTAATTTATTTCAATAACAGTTCTAAAGTCTGGGGTGAAAATGGTCTGGGCCCGGCTGTGGTAGAGAGAGTTTTGTGTATTGGTGGGTTTGAATTCAAATTTAACGGTAAAATAATTGTGACACAGAGAGTAAATAAAGAAAGCAACAACTAACAAGTTAACCAAAGATAATGTGAATTTAAAGAAATTAGGCGACAAAATTTAATTTAGAGAATTATTTCACCTGTCAAATACTAGTTTCTGTGACAAATAAAAGATGTTCTAAACATTTAATGGTAATATGGAACATCATGGCTAGGTAGTATATCTGCTACAGTAGATGGGTGGCAGATGGGAAAGGTCTTTAGGGTTAAATTTTTTTGATTTGCATAAGGACATGCAAAAACTTTTAAACCTAAGAAGTCTAACATATTCTCTGCCTGCAAACTTTTGAGTGACTCTGAGTACCGGGAGCAGGTACTTTTACAACTAAGCACGAGATAATTTTCAACTATATCTTTATTATAGTTGACAGGGGGGCTGTTTATTGTATGATTCACCGAGGGCTGCATGTGCGTATAAAGTATTGCCTATGCATGCGCTGCTACAATTATTTTTATCCTCTTGCCCTTATTTTTAGTAAAGTTGGTTTGACGGTGCTCCTAGAGAGCCCAAGATAATAAAATAAATTTCTTAAGTGCGTTCAGTTCTCCGATAAAATAATTATATTAGGCTTAAGTCCAGAGTATATCTTATTATTATATTTATATTTATTCTCGAGGACTTCCGGCCGTTAAATCCAATAGTTGATAAAAAGAGAAAAGAAGCTCCAATAAACTGCGTTGATTTAAGATATAAAACTTAAAACAAAAGCAGATATTTAGTAGTCAATTATAAAGTACTCAGTTTTCAGAGATATGAGAGAGTCATTGTGAGTTTAGCTTATCAATTTATCCATTATGGGTTCCTTCTATACTGTGCTCTTTTTTCTATTCTTTGAAGAGGTGGGTGCTTTCACAATGCTTGTGTTTTCGAATTTAAAAATGTCAAAAACCAGATCCTAACAGTCAAAGCTTGTAAGTATTTCTTAATTACCTCAAACCCATTAACATAACCATGAAAATAAGTTCTTATGAAGTCAGAATTAATACAATTTTTAATAGTATATCTTCGACATTCGTTACTTAATTACTTAAAAACCTTATTATAATAACATTTTATGTTGTACCGGTTTTTAAATAGCGTATGTATTTCTTAACGGTATTTATTGCTACTGCAACCTATCTACTTTACCCGAAGACGGGAAAAAGCGAAGTGACCTTAAGTATATATATGCATTAACTAAAAATACATATCTTTATTTATTAGTGAGACTGCTACTATCTGCATTTAAAGTTCTCTATCAAAGTCTTAAGACAATATTATGTATTTTTCTTCTAAACAGAAATATAAAATTTTGGTTTAGAAAAAGGTGTAGTTTTTAACTATAGAGAAAATATATAGAGAAAATACATTTAGTGTGACTTATAAATTATTTTGTTCGTGTATCGGGATAAAAGTGATTTTTCAACTTTTTTCTTAAAGCAAATAAAGAATTTTCAATTTTAATAGTTCTTACTTATTTTCTTTTCACAATTATACTCATTTACTTAATGTTTAAAATATTAACATATAGATATAAAGATAGTGATTATTTAAATAGTTATAACCTCTCATTCTTCTATGTTTGTTACAAAAGTGGCAGAGTTACTCGTCTAATCTTACTACCAAATATTTTTTAAATTAATTTTCGAATTATTTTAAAAGTGAAAATGTATATTTATTAGGTTTTTGTGAATAAAAACAGATACACTAATAAAATAGAGTTTTGTTTGTGTTCAAAGGCCTTAACTTTAATTATATGTAATTTAGATATTTGACGGGAAACAACAAAAGCTCAATTAACAAGTAAATGTTCTCAGACTTTACTAAGTTGACTACCTTGTAAGTTGGTCAATACTGCTAAATTATATTCAGAACTTCTACGACCTTTTCTTTTTTTCACTTTTAACTTGAGAATTGACATAAGTTAATAAAACGATTAACTAAATTTTTGTCGTTTATATGAGTGGCCATTGTCAAGGGTAATTATATATATATTACAGGTATCTTGATTTTAACTTCGTTAAGGCTGTTGAGGACGAATCGTTTACCCATCTAACTTCTCCTCATAGGCTGTAAATTCTTATATTTGCTATTAATCGCTCTCAGATCTGGTAAGATACCATACACATATATATATGTATATATTATATTAGGACTGACCTATATGTAAAGGTTTCATAGATAATAACCCAACTTACTACCATCAACAAAGGACTGTTATTTGGTCTCTCCGGTTAGGCTTCTTTGTAAGTATATATATAGTTGTGAGAGAATTATGGCTACTTTTTACTTATATTATTATCCTTCGCAGTAATTCTATCTGCGTAATATTAATTTTAATCCATCATTAATTGTACACTCTCCCTTAACAAAAGTGTTATAATAGATTAACTACTTTATTAGAACTTCATTTCTATTGTTAAGAGAATTTGGTAGTTGTGTGCACTATTTTTAAAGCCCTTTAATAGTGGTAATAATTGTGTTAAACTCCTGTAAACAATGGATATAAAGTCAATGCCGACTCTTTCCTCCTTTTATAGCCTAGAGGAACTGTGTGTTTGTTATACCTCAGGGGGAACATTTTATAAGAAACCCGTGTCTTGTGTTTTTTATTGTGAATAGTTTTTGGGTAATGATGACTTTGAAATGCAAAATTGCACTTATTTTTTAATTTTTTAAAGTTCAGTTTTTGCTATTAGTTAGTAGTACATGGATTTTGTTATATATAACAGTTAATTTGTTACTTTTTAACTATATTATTATAGTACCGCATGAATTTAAGCTATAGTAAAGTAGTTTTTTTCGGGAGCAAGAAATTAACCAAATCTTTATAATGTACATCTATTAAGGATCCTTTATAATAATTATTGAAAATATTCCTTCCTCTTCTTCCCTGGATTAAAAAAATTAACTTTATTGTAAGTTTCCTGGGTTCAATAATATTATGCGGCTCTTTTTTCAGCTTCTTTATGTTACTGACGCGTACATTTCAAGTGATTTTAAAAAATATCTCTTTTCACTTCTTCTGCATTTTCTTATTTTCCGCTCAGTGGTTTTTAAACTTTTGGGTTTATAATTCAGCCAAGTCATTGCTGTTTTTATTTCTTTAAGAACTGCGTAGGCTAGATATTTATATGTTTATAAGGTTTATTAAGTAAGTGGAAAATAAAATAAAGATATATAAAAAATATATGAAGTTAACTTAATTATAACAGAAACGACTAGGCTCTCTCTCTTCTCCTATAAAACCCTTTTTTGGCTTGTTAATAAATTCTTTATATTTTTTTTTACTTGAATATTTGGAGAGCTTCGTAATAACCAAACAACTGAAATTGGAATTGAGGTATTTAATGTTTTCCTAATTTTTATAATGATTTTACTAGTTTTATTAGTTATGTACTCCTAAACGAAAAATTTCTTTGTTGCTCGCGTGTTCACAACACGGATTTGAGATATGTTAACGTGTCTTGCACTTATAACGAATAAATAAAAGTTCTTTATACAATTTGATAAAACGAAGAGCCTTACATCAAGTACACCCGGGACTCTGTCAACTACTAGTCTAAGTAAAGAAAATCAATCGGGGTCCTCAATAAAAGAGAGTTTATCGTGGGGTTTAAACCTATTCAAGCTTACATTTTTGATGGTACCAGTTTTTTTTTTATGTGGGGACCATGAAAGCGGAAACTAATTAATTTTTTTAAAAATTGGTCAAAGAGTTAGAAATGTGATTTTTTAAGCCTTAAATATTTTGTATGTAGAGTAAATTTAAAGAAATGACAAGCGCTAAAGTTTTATCGTAGCAACTTACGAAGAATGATGAAACTCCTTTCCCCCTAATTAGGAGTACGGGTGTAGCACCTGTCCAATAAAAAAAACCATTTAACCATTCAAAAGAAATTGTACTTGATCTTGTAATGTATTTAATCATAAAAATATCTATAATTTTATAAAAACAAACCAGAAAAGACGGTGCATTGCCGGTGTCGTTCCCTTTAACTATTGATCACTAATGCAGATGGCTCTATCCATTAATAAAAACCGGGGTTCCGAGTAATCTCATGTGATAATATGCATATTGTTAAAAAAAAATTCAATACATTTTTTAAAAGCTCTATTGAAACAACACAATTTAGATGGCAGTTCACGCGGAATTAAGTCGTAGCGAATTTAACAAATACCTGTGGCTAGGCGTAACCCCAATTAATATTCTTGGGTTAATAACAAATTAATAATATGCTTTCGAGTGGCTAACCTTCACAGTATATACACATAGCCCCTCTTCCAACTATGTCAAAGGTATTAAAGAAAAAAATCACTAAGGGGCTTAACTAGAGCTTTGACATTAAGATTTTTACAAGCAACCATTACAACTGATTTTTTTTTTTTAGTTTTGAATTCTTATTTTGTCACTAATTAATATCTTGTAATTCAATCATTCATCGTTATTTGGTGTTTCGAAAGGATTACTAACTAGACCTATTTCACCGTAACCCTTAGTCCAAACAAGCAGAAATACTTCTTTAGCCCATGCGACCAAAGTTGGTCATAAAAACTGGAAGTATCCTTTCTTTCTCTGCGCTATTAATTAAGGTTACTAAATATAATTTACTAACTTTTCTAAGTTTGCTTGTATCGCCTCATAATAATATCTTGGAAACCTTTTAATGTGGTCTCAATGTCGCTTAAGTAACTACCCAGTATATATAAATACATAGCTGTTTGTAACAAAAAAATACACTATCTACTTTATCCATCAGCTTTTGAGTTAGACCGCCTTATATGTAGTCAGAGTAATTTTTTTAAATAGCTTAGAGGGTAAAAGGGCCGTGCACATGTGATTATATAAGTTTGGCTCGCCACCGCAGTTTTTTTTATTTTTAGTTGTGCAGTTGAGCTTGGTGCGCTTTGGGGGTCTATAGTACTCAAATAAATATACAATGCTTTTAGTACTTCGACTTTCTTACATTATATCACTTTATTGTCTTTAAAATACTTTATATTAAGTATATTATATTACTTTACTACCTATAACATACAAGTTTTCGAAGACTTACAGTCTGTGTTAACAAAAAAAATGAATTACGGAAATTAGTTGTAATTGGACTGATCAGAGAGCTCGCTATAATAAGGCACGGCACTTTCTTTATAAGTTATTAGACGCTCGGGCATCAATGTTAAATTATACCGTATACTATGGCATTCCATTCCAAGCTGCTTTAGTAAAATACTATTCTGTAGGAAACACAGTTAGTTGCGACCTTTTAGAAGACGGACGCCTTCATTCCTTTTCACACTAGTAAAAACCTTTCTATATAGTAGCATTGTGAAACTAATAAATAGTCGTTATGACTTGGACATTAACAAGCGTGGGATCGCCTTTTGTTTGGTTGACACGGAAGGACCAGCTTAGCCCAGTAATACTTCTATCAATTTTCTATTTTAAACTTACCATTCAGTGGTTTTTATAATATTATTTTTAAATTTTTTATATGATAATGCCTGGCTTAAGTGTCCCCTTTAGGTTATGGTGGTTGTAATCAGACGCCCCTACTCTGCGTCCTAAACCCATAGTGTAGTTATAGTTGATATTCAAAAGATACGGCGACGGGTGCAGTTCATTTCATTACTAAATAGAGAACCCACTTAATTAAAGTACATCCTCCGGCTACGACACAATAGGGCGGACTCTAGCTAATGTTTGGTGGAAGTAACAGTTTAACTCTTCTAATAGGCTGAATAAAAATTTTTAATCAAGGGTTAAAGAAGTCTGTAAAGTTTCTATCACAAGCGGATGAGCTGGATGAAAAAATAAACCAATGTCTGTACTATTTCAAATTTCATGGGGAAAGCGTTGATGCAGAGCTATCCTGGTATGCCTTATTTAGCGCTGTGGTGAAGAGGAAAACCTACAGCTATGAAGGAAACAAATTTTGTAGTAAAAGCGACCCATTTTTATATATTAGTTATTAAATAATAGTGAGGAACTGGTTGACTTTGACCATAATAATCGTTAGACAAACAGGTCTCGTTGTTTTTACGCTGTACCCTGCGAATATTCTTTTTTAACTTAGAGTATTTATTTATGTTAACTTTAAATCAGGAAAAATTCTTTGGTTACTGAGTGCTTAACTTTTACCTATCACGTTGCCTTCTCGCTTGTCACTTGCCGTCAAATGTTGGCCTGTAAAATCTTATTGCAGTTTAGTAGTAAATATTTTTTTGTACTTAAATTTTATAGATTTATACGCTCAGTCCAAAAGTTAAATTAGTTAAACGACCCAGTTTGTAATACTGTATTAAGTTTGATTATTTAAGCTAGTGGCTGAGTCACTCCGACTTCATTCTCAAATCTTTTCGAGTGAGGTTACTCTCCTTTAAATTCCGGGCTTGCTTCTCTCAGGGCTGACCTGTTTGTAGATTTTATGGTCATACTGACCTCACATTTTCCTGTTCAATTCCCCATCTATTGTTCGCTAAGACGTACGCCTAAGCGACTAGTAGTTTACTAAGTAAACTGTCGTTAATAATTATTAACGCGTCGGAATTTTTTTTCATAACTAAGACTTGTCAACTTTATGCAAACTTCCCTGAAAAAACAAAGTTGGAGGTTGTGTAGTGTCCATCAAAAGGTGCACAGAGTTTTGCGCTTTAATAGGTAAGCATACAAGATAGATTGCAGGATATACAATCTTTAAAAAACATTATCCTTTCCGCAAGAAAACGAGCTTCCAACTATACCTGTAAAAAGTCAAGAAGCTCCTTATTCTGCTATCGCGATTTTTTTATGTTTGTTAAACAAGTAGATTGCATTCAATAGCCTGTGTGTATCCGAGGAAATCCGCATAATCTGGTACTATTTTCAACAGTACATATTTCTTTGGTTTACTATATAAATATTTTTTCCTATGTAAAAGTAAAACTTCCTTTGCTATTTGAATTATTTATTAGCTCAATGAAAATTTGGATAACTAAACAGAATTTATATCCTTATTAAATATGAGAAGGTGGTATTTTTTTGGTCAATTTCTACGGGTCTATTATTCGGCGTTTACTGAAAGCTTTAACGTGCGTGATTTAACAATCTAGAGTTTTGAAGCAATATTCAAATTATCTTTAAGATTATAGAGAAAACTACTTGCTGTTGCAAGTAATAAAGTTTTCCCGCCAAGGTCCAAGCATCCGAGACCACCTCCGGGGGCATTTCCATCCAATCTGCAGCGTTGGCTTTTTGGCGCCTTGCCAAGCGGACCAGCTGCGCACACAACTTTTCTTTCTCTTTATAGAGCTGTAAGGATTGTTCGTGATTTTATACGAGATGTAATAGGCTTTAAGCATTTTGTTACATCTACGCTTGACTCGCTATTTTTTGTGGTGTCTTTAGTAGAAGCTGGTACTCTCCCAATAGTGTTGCTGTCTGCGATATTTTGAAAAAAATAAATTCGTAAAATGAAAAGACTTGCCCCCCATAATTTTTTTTGTCTTTAATATTATGTATGCAGTATTTTTACTATATTTTTGTTCAAGGAGAAGCGATAGGCGGTAGTTTTCATTATCGTCGTGGGGAGAAAAGTTCTTGTAGTAAAACTCTACACTTTTCTTGAAGATCAAAGGGTAGACCGCCGTCCTGTTGTTCTTTTATAAGTGCTTTATACAATTTGCAAAAGTTATTATTAATACTCTTGAAAGTGCTGAAAATCATTTATTAACTCTTCCAGCCTCCTAATTAAAAAAAAATCAAAGTTTATAAAAAATAATACTTTTTTACTTATTAGATGTTCACAACTCTGATGGATGGTCAAAAGCATGATAGATAAAAGTAAAGTCCGTTAAGTAGACTCCCAAATAAGGAATGCACGGCGGCTCAGAAGATTTTAAAACATCCCGATATTCCTTGTAGTTAAGCTCGGTGTCCATTAACCGCGAAAGCTCTTTAAATAGTTTCTATTGAAAAATAGTGGTCAATAAAAAGTGTTCACAGTATACAGTATATAATACTTTTTTCTTGGGAGACACTGCGCTCCATGACTTTCTAAGTCTGTAAACGGGTTGGCCTAAATCGACATTAGAAAAGGGAAAGAGTAAATAGGGACGCTTAAGATGTACCTTGCAGGCCAGAGAGAATCCCTTTGAGAGAGTTAAAGTTTTGCAAAGTAAGGAGTTCTTTAGCCACCTGTAAAAGAAAAATAAATTTATAAAGTAGATCCAACCTGGTTAAGTGATTATTTGTAGCCTAAATTTATTAGCAATATATATTTTATAGCACTTTTCATGGATGAATGTGAAAGTAGGAAATTTTAAAGTTAGTTTATCAGAAGAAAAATGGAATAGTGCATATCTTTTATTGATAATTTCAAATGTTTTGAAAAATAAAACCAAAGACCTTTATATAATACTCGATGACTTTAGCTCTTCCCCCGGCTGTCCCGTTGGAAAGGACCTCCGTTGCGACAATATTGGCTTGCTCATTCAAGGAACTAATCATGTTCACAATATTTTTGGCATGGAGGTCTTTGGTTGGCTTGGACCACGCACAATTCGTGAACTGTCCATCAACGAAAAATAAAAGTTCGAAGCAAAGAATATTATTTTTAGTGGTACCTCAGCTGGCTTTATTTTTCTAAGTAACTCTGAATCTTTTATACAACAGAAGACTGCTACATCAATTGGCTGGGTGGGTAGTAATTTATAAAAGAAAAGGTAAGACTCAGATAAAAAGTACCTCAAATAAAAGTAGTGCAGTTTTAGGAAGCTTGGTGGTCGCCTCTATTTTGGTAAACAAAGATATTACTATACATAACCGGACGCGTTTCCCCGTAATATAATAAAAAAAGGTCACGTGCACCAGATTTATCTTCCACAGAATCCGAGTATTTTTCAGAAAATAAGAAGCTTTGAGAGCTTTGCGTTCTCCGATGTTTCTTTTTCCTGATACAAAAAGAAAATAAAGTGGGAGGTGAGCCTAAAGGTAAAGGAGTATATATACAGTTTTTGGGAAGAAAGAGCGGATTCCGAACCTAAACCCCTGCAATCGTCAGCTGAAGAGAGCCGATACATAAAGAAAAGATTTCTAAAAAAGTCCTAAACAGTAACCTTTTAAATTAGCTAAATAGCCGTTTAACTTCTTTTGAAAAGAGAACTTTTTATAAGGAGAATCAAAACCAATTTTACGAGACGCTTCAGTTTTATCGCTTGTAAAATGAATAAATAAAACTAGTCTTAGAAATAGTTATTAAAAGTGAAGATTTCTCCGTTTTTTTTTTTATAGTTGCAATGGAGTAGTATTCTTAAAGTTCAATATAACTTAGCAAAAACAAATAAACAAAAATTAAAGCTGCTAGAAAATAACTTTTATCCCCCCTTTGAATTGATTAACACAAAAAAAGGGAACAATTTAAAACCTTGCTTAGATTCATTAAATAATTGGTAAAAAAAAAAAAGTAGGGGTATAAAAAATAAAACTTTAGCACCAAAATGAAACAGTATAAAAACGTACAGTTCTTCAGACGCAGTAAACATAACACTTTGTGAAGAGAGCGAAGAGTTACTTGAGGAAGAGCCTTAAATGCAATAGCTTTAAAAAAGAAAAAATAAGGAAAGACAATAAATATAAGCAACCTTTTTTATAATATTCAACGAACTCATAATATAAAGAAAACAGTTCGCATCCTATTAAGAAAAATCCATAATCATGAAACAAAGTTTAGATGTTATATAAGTAATAAACCGAGTTCAATCGACTTTTCTCCATTTTCTTGGTAGTATATATCATAAGAGATTGCAATCTTATTTTTAAGCTAGATTTAAAATCAAGTTAATAACCCTGTAAACACCGCACAATAAAAAAAACTTAAAATAATGTAGCGAAGTAAAAGTTATCTAACAAACTTTTGGACACAAAAAAAAAATTTAAACAAAAATATACATTTTCCAAAGTTTTAAAATCCTCCGGGGAAGCGTTGCTAGCTGAGTACCAATAAGTAACGCTATAAATCAATTCTTCAGAAACTTTTAGTAAAGCATCTTTTTGATATTCACTAGTCGTCTTTAAAAAAAGTATAAATAATAGCTTTCCAGAATTTATTACATCAAATTAAATTTTAGTGTAATATAAAAGACCGAATCTAAACTAAGTAATAGCTCGTAAGCAAGTCGATGCTGGTAAACGACCAGCAGAGAATTGAAAGAGCTTAACCACTTTGAGAAGTTTTCATCTCTAACAAAGTAATGTATATTCATTAAAATACTTCATTTGATAATATAATATGATATTTATATTTCAGTTAACCACATATGAAAAAAAAACCGTGTGACCGCAGAGAATTCTTTAAAAGCGAATAACAAGGTTCGAAGATCACCTCCTCTATCGGCTTCCTGAAAGAGCCTTGAAACCGCTGAAACGCCTTTAACAACAAGACCTTTATAAGTTAATAACAATAGTACACATAAGCGGAATCAGCAACTAACAATTATAATAAGTAGTATTTAAGGTTATAAACATATACATCGAGTCTGGCAAGTAGCATAAAGTATAAAAGTAAAGTTTAAAAATACTCTTGCCATATCTGAGAAATGTGTAGAATTGCCATGAAAAAAATAATACACTGATTTTTAATTAAAAAAGCGTTAAAACAGTTTGAATAAAAAACCTTTTACCTACTTCACAAGCGTTTTACCACGCCTTATACTTTGCATAGATAAAAGTTTTTTTAAGCAACTAGTAATCTTGTATAAAAAGTAAAACTATGATAATTAATAAAGTTAATAACATTAAAAGTTATTGCTTTGTTGGAAAAAAAGTATTCAACTATAAATATAAACATAATAAAACTGTAAGAAAGAGAAATATGATTAAATTGTATCGGCAAGTAAATATTACACTCATCGTAAATTGGATGGGGATATCCGCAAACTTGATATATAAGGGTAAAACTATCCAGAGAATATTTAACTTTTCCCTCTCCTTCTTCGATTTTTATTATAAAAATAAAATCACTGCATTTACAAGATATAAGTAGTAAGTTTTTTTTAAAATATTATACACTTTCCTAAGCAGTTGGATTCTAACAAAGGCTTTACGAAGGTAACTAGAATCGAGTTCTATAAAGTCTCCCCAAGCGCCATTGTTTTTAGATTCCAAGCAGTTTTTCAACTAGTTATGTAATATAATAAGCTTTTGTAGAAAAAAGATGGAAATATACCATACCTGGCCGGTATATAGAAGCATAAATTGCCCTATCAGTGGAAAATGCCAAGTGTCGTTGTGTTGTTGTACGTTGTTGCCACTTGGGGAATAAGAATTTGAAGTTTGTAAAGAAATTCTTGCTCGGTGCAATAATTTTCGACGAGAAGATAAAATGGGCGAAACTATCTTTTCAAAATGTTTCAAGGATAATTCCTCGAGAGCAGGTTCAAGGTTATAAGTGGCTTCACTACCATTACCTTTACCAATACTACTACTACTCTTACTATTATTGTTATTATTAGTAGTAATATTAGAGTTAGTATTAGTATTATTATTATTATTGATATAATTGTCAGCGTTGTCTTTATAGCTATTGTTTCTTTTAACTTTAAAGTTCGTATTATTATTTTTAACGTTTCCTTTTGAGACATCCATCTTATAAAATTTATATAATAGTTCACAATGACTTATAACAGTTGGATGATTATAAGTATTTTTTTCAAAAGATCTTAAATCAGTGATTAATGACATTACGTTATTAAAACAAATTAGAAAAACTAAATTTTTTTTTAATAATGCTTGTTGCAGTGTTCAACTTGCTCAAGTGATACACTTTTATTTGATAGACCTAAATTATTCATAAAAAGATTATACTGGAGCAAACTTTAAAAAGTTTATAATCACCACGTAACTTTTTAAGTTAACGTAATTAAGTGTTGAAGTAACTGAAATTAAGTTGTAATATATTTAATAAAACTGAATATTGTTAACTTAAATTCGGAACCAGATAATAATATCTATAAGCAGATTAAATAACGAGAAAAGTTAAGTTAGAAATACAAAAATATTACCTTGTGATAAATATCCATTCATGATTTAGTTATACCAGAAAGTCTAAGTGATAAACCTATAGTGTACTAAAACGTGAACGATTTAGAGGAGCCTTCAGTTAAAAACACTTCTACCGAAGTAGATAATCACAACTTTGTACTGTTAAATTGTGAGCGAGGGTTCTTAACGCTCTCAGCTAATGACAGTACCTTGCACCTTTTCATGATTGTAACCTTCAATTTTCTATTTAATTTTTTGTTATAATCAAATTTATAAATTATCTCTACTAGTAAAGTTGTAAACTAAAAAAAATTTATTTCTTTAAAATAAAAAGTTTTAAGTGTTTGTCATACAATTATTTTTGCTTATAAATAGGCTATTATATTCAAGGTGAGTTGCTTATAAACAATATTATATTAGAAAAGTTTAGGATAAAATACTTTACTACTTAAAAGTTTAGATTAGACTATCAACAATTATTCCTTAAATTTTAACTTAGAAAGGCCGAGGGGGTCAATTTAAGATATATATAATAGAAAAGTGGGAGTTTGTCTAGTTCATGTTCAGGGAGAATATGTTAATATATAGCATAGGTCATGTGGTAAGAATGGAAAAGTATTTTATTTAAGCACTGGCTACTTACGACCGGGCGCAGCTTTATTTGGATCCCCTTCCTTGAGAGGTGTTGAGGCCCCCACCAGTTTACGCTCCTTAAGAAATAATAATGACTTTGTCCCAAGGGAATAAATTAAAGCGAATAATATTTAGCTCGGCTCCCACCATTTGGCTTAGTGTGATGAAACGCTGAAAACCACCGCCGGCTAAGGCAGCAACAGGTACAAGACCTGAGGCCACTCGAAGACCATCTATCAAAATGCCGGTAAAGCCTCTCTCCACTACGAGCTCCCATCCTGCATAAATTCTGTTTTTTTATTTTTTGTACATGGGTTATACTGATGCCTAATAGTGTTAAAAAACAACGAAATTTTCAAGCCCTCAACAGGGTGTTAGCACGGAAATCAAATGTAAGCTTAAATTAAAGTATTCTCATTTTTCTAATCGTTTAAACTCAATCCCAATTAAAGCCTGTTGCCTGTACGGAGATAGCGTGCGCCGTCCTATAATCCGTACTGAGCTTTCTTGGCAGTAACTGATTGGTGTATTTGACATGCCGTTCATGGGTGGTGACAGCATTGCGTCTCATAGACGTTGCCCATCTTGACGCGTAGCAGCTTGTGCACTATGTGTAAACGCAGTTGTTACGCAGGAACCAAGTTATATATTAATCCACTGCTTTGTGATATTAACAGAGATCAATTCTCACAGCCCAATGCCCTTTAAGTTTGGATATCATGCCAAGTTAATATCTGGGGGCGATTGTAGACTGAAAATAAAATAGTGATTCCCCATTACTTTGAATTTAGTAAGTTTCTAGCCCTTTTAAGGGTGCGTTTTCACCCACTAGTTTGTTAATTTTGTTTTAAAATTTCCAATACGGACAAAAGTTGTCGGCTGCCTCTTTACGACAGAGTTAAGTATCTTTAAGTTTCCGCTTTATTAGGAAACAGTGCTCCCTAAGCATTTGACTTATTAGCTTAGAAGTATCTAGGTTAAGCCAGAGCATTTCATTAAATACTAGACACTAATAAATAACTATTTTAAAGGTTGTATTGACTATAAATAAATGTTACAAGAAGAATAAACACTAATATTAAAAATAGTAATAACGTTGTTTTGGAGTGGTAATAATAATAATGTAAGAATAGTTAATGATTGCAATTAGAGCAATTCTTGTAAAATATCTACCAGTTCAGCAGTAAATGACTTTTCCTATTTTATTAACTTTAATGTAATATGTTAAGCTTAAAGTAACACCATTATCATCAGAGATTAATTAGCTAATTACCTAATATTATTTTTTTGTTATTTTCGTCATCCTAGTCATTTCATTGTTCTGCTCCGCACCTCTATAAAGTCTTTTGAATTTTCTGATATATCGATACCTTTCAATTAATTAAAACCGAAGAAGGAAGTATGCGGTTCAAAGTGTTTACTATAAATTTTTACTAGTACCCTTTGTAATGTCAAACAGTATATACCCTTTATTAAGAAATAACACACGCTTACCCATCATCGAGGTGGGCCTCTGATCTTTTCGCTCTTCTGTTATTCCTAGAAGGACGCTACCATAGGTAGTGGTTTTAAAAAGCGTACATACGTAAATAACCAAAATAGGACTAAATATATATGAATATTTATTAGTTAATATTTATATAATACAGTATTGAGGCCGTTCCTTTTTACTACAACACGTTCCAGGTTTACTTATACCCTCGGGCATGCATGCAATTGTTATTTCTCTTTCCTTTCCCTCTACGTTGTTCTTTTAAAATATTTATGCATGGCTTTCGTTCTTTTAATTTAATTTACTGCTACTTTTGACAACTTGAACGCTGTTTGTCTAAAGAAACTCTTTCCCTTAGGAAGTTACTAAATTTTTATATTAAAACACTCTATATGATAGTACACACGATTGAAGTATTGCAAACTTTAGAGAAGAGAATTAAAAAATTACAGTTAAGGGCAATGATTTATTTTTAACGCTGGATAAATATGTAAAACCCTTCTAGGAGATTTTATTTCTTGAGAAAAGTTTCAACAGTTTTCAATTTTCTTTTACGTAGCTGCATTCTAGTAGTCCTGAGAGTTAAAGTAGATTTATCGTTTATAGTAATACCACCGTTCAGGAACTCATTTGCTTTCTGCTGCTTAATTTGTAATTCTCTCACTGATTTCTTTATACCTGAGGCTGTGCGAGTCACTGACTTTTTCATTTTTCCTCTTTTTTTTTTAAAGCGGCAAAAGGCAAGGTCGCTACTCATATTTATTGGCGATATATAAACCGCTTCTTCCACTGAAGATCGATTTTTTTCCATGTTAAATGGTCCTTCCGAGCAGACTTTACTAACACCAACACCCTCCTCGTGAGATGGAGACAAAATATCTTTATTTTCTTTACAAATATTATCTGTTTTAAAGGTTTCGCAAACTTTAGTTGTAGAGGGGTCTAATTTGCTGTTATTATTGCTACAACGTTCTGGAGGAGTAAAAGTAATTTTTTTATTAACATTGACATCTGTTCCATGCATGTTTCCTTCCTTAGTTTCAATTAAGGTTTCTTCCGGAAGAGCGAACTTTATTGCGTGTCCATTACTACTTAGTTCAGTTTCTAGTTCTTTTCTATATTAAAGCTATAGTTTAATGTAATCTAAAAGATCCAACCTTGCATGTGAGTGAACTCCAGCGCCACTTGCTCGCGTATTTCGTCTTCAAACGTTTCCATATGCTTTCTCAACTTCGCATTTTCTTCTTTGAGGAGTGCGCAATCACGCTGCAGTGTAGTATTATTTTCGTGTAGTTTGATGCACTCGTCCTTCGCCTTTTCGTTGCTTTTCTGCAAATCTTCCAAAGTTGCTCGGAGGCATACGCAATTTTGGCACGGCGAGGCAAACACCAACTTTGCAAAAGGGCCATAGTTATCAACTGATTTTTTTTGAGTAGCTTCTTCGTACTTGCTTATCTTTTGTTCAGCATCTTCAAGCCTTTTTTTCAAAAGAACATTTTCTCTTTCAAGATTTGTCTGTTTGCCTCTCCTGTCTGGAGTTTCCGGTTTACCCTCTTTTACGTAATGAGTAAATTTAAATTATTATATAATATTATATTTTATTAGAAAATATTTATAAACCTAACTTAGGCCGCTCGAGCTTCATAGCGTCGGCAGCACAGAAACTCAATGCATTGATTGTCTGTTACAAAAACTATAAGAAAGTATGAAACAAGTTAAAAAGTCTAAGATTGTAAACTCCGGGGCCGGCTTATTAAGTATAAATAATAAATTTATTTTTTGGTTAAAAAGTATAGTAACTTCGTCTTTATCAGATATGGAGGGGCTGATATTAATAATCATTCTGGCTTTCCCGTGCCCCTCAAAGTAGCCGCTTAAAAGCTATAAAAATACAAATCAGTATAAAAAGCAAGTAATCAAGTAAAAAACTGCACCATCGTGAGAGGATTCTCACGATAGGAAGCATGCTCGTGCAGTTTCTGTAAAAAAAAATAACCAATCACTTATAATATAGCTGACCAATAGTAACACATATAATTACCCGCTGGCGAATAATTTTTCTCAGGACCAATAGAGATTCATTTATTTTTTTGGTTTCGTTGCGCAAACGGATGTTTGATGGGGAACAGCGGTGAGAAACTTTCTCTATTTTTTTAGGATATAAAATTATACTATTTAATAAAAAGCTGAATGTTAAAAATTGAATTATTATTTAAAATCTAGAAAAGAAAAGTACTGGTTCTTTCAGATCCCGCTAAATCAACAAAGTCCATCCTATTTACTTTAGCGCTTTTTCTCTCCTCCATTTTCCGAAATCGTATAATTTTGATAGTAAAGATACTGGAAACAATTAAATCACGAAAAATATGTTTAACATTTACTTTGTGAATCTAAAAGTTAGCTTGTAATTTTAATCTAAAGTGAGGTTATTATTATTACTAAATAAAATATGAATTTTATAGTTTTCAAAAACTAATTAATTAGAATTAAAATTTGAATACATGAATTTCACGTTTCATTTTTATATTAATAACTCTCTATAATTAAAGTAAATCCAAATGCTGTACACCTATGACTTCTGCTAGATTGTTCATTAATGCCTGTCTTGGATTTTGTGCGTGTCAGTCGGCCCGCTAAAAATAACTTGAAAGCTTCTTCAACAGTGTTTACTTTGAAGCCTCAATTGAAAAAAATAAAATAAATCTCAAAGTTTAAAAATGTTATAACAAAAAGTGTTACGAAAATATAAATAATATTATATTTACTTATAATTTAATTATCAATTAATTATTTTTTCTACTTAGTAATAAACTTTAAAAGTATAACACTAAATTTATTTTAAAAAAAGTATAAATTTATAAAGATATTGTAAACAGCACTCACAGGAAAGTCCTTTAATGTAAAAAAAATTCAAGTCTGGGGTCGATGACGCTTTTTTTAATCTTGAAGATGCGCAGCCAAAACGAGATTCACATAGTTGAGATTTAATTTCTAAAGGAGTTTCGCAATTACTCAGAAGATCGTAAGCTTTATCCTATAAAAAGAAATAAATTATAAAAAAAGCTATGAACTTTAATAAAACCTGATAAAGCTGAGCAAAAGAAATCCAGATCTCAATAAATTCAATTCCTTTGTTAAAATCTTGAAATAATTCGTTTGCTTCGGTCTTATAATTCGCATGAAACTCCAGAAAATTATCTAGTTCCCTTAAAATACTTTTCCGTTGTTTAATGGATTTAATATAAGAACACTTCAGAACAGATTCTTTAGTTTTCAAAAATGCCGCCACCTCTTCTTTTCTTATTTGTTAAGTAAATTGAAGTAATAATTATAAACAATAGAAAAAAACAAACTTTAAAGTTTTTATTCTCAAAAACTGAAATGGAACTATTGAATAATTAGAAATTAAATTTTTGTCGTAGAGATGAAAAAGTATGCTGAGTACACGTGGTAAGATCCCAGGCTCCTTTTTAATAATTTCACTTTATTAAGGAAATTATTAAAAAAGAAAAAAACTTTAAACCTGAGGGGTGCCGTATATGGTATAGGTTTTACCAGCATTAGTAACCCCGTAAGCAAATAATAAAGCATTTTCACCGCAAACAAAATCCTTTTGCAGTATTGTAATAAAATACACAAGAATTCAGTACCAAAGAATTAAATATAAACTTATGCGGTCTATTTTACTTATTAAAAATAAAAATATAAGTTGTGTTTAAAGCTCGAGATTGCTAACTATTTTGAAAACACGAAATTTACTAAATTCTTTAAGTTGGATGATAAACTTGTAAACCTTTACTAAAGGGAGAGCCACCTCGGAAAAAATTCCTTTTTGGTCATAGTTTGCATCTAACACTTTTGAAAACGAAAATTCAGTGTGTACGTCAGTATTCTTAAGCCAAGTTTTTTTTAAAAAAACACAAGTTTCAGTAGTATTCTACAGATAACCAAAAAAATTATATATTAAATTATCATTACATACCTAACTAACTTGTTAATATATTAAGATAATAAAGTAGGCTTTCTTCAAATATAATTACTGCTATGAGTGATTCCGACTCAAAATTAACTCGAATCCGGCAAAAGACGGGTAAAGTGGTTAGATCTTCTGCTTCTTTATTAAGGTGTAAATTTTGTATTTGTGAAGTAGATTCTTGACTTTTCAAAGAAGTGATACTCAGATCGTCAGTTGCTGCTGGGAAATCAATTTTTGTCAGAGCTACTTTAGATAAAACATCTTCGTTATCGGTACGCAACGTAAGTTTTGAGGGGCTATGAAGGGAATTATTTCTTTTTCTTTTTAAAAGGAACTCATCTTTAAAAGGGCGCTCGGAAAGAGGTAATCTTAAAGTCAAGACGTCGGAAGAAAAAGACTTAGAATCGAGTTTTTCCTCGTAACAGATTGTTTTCTCATGAAATAGATTTGTACAAACCTTATTTGTTACTGAAGATTTTAATGAGTTATTAATATTCTCCTTGTCGTCAAAAGACTGAAAATTTAAATTTTTTTTTAAAGAGTCATAAACTGTCCTCGTTGAAAAGCAGTTTTCCAATTCTAACGCTGATAAAGTCATTATAAATAGTTAAATGGTCGCGAGCTACATACCTCAAAGTTAAGTAAATAGGAAACAATGGCGAAAGCTGAACCACTGGCAAAACTAAAGACTGCTACCACCAAGGTTAACTGGACTTGGGTTTGCTACTTTTTAAACAGTAGATTTTGTTTCGGTCTTGGTACCAAATAAAACAATTTATTTTAAAGTTTTTGTTAAGGCATAGAGAGTTTATAAATTTATTTAAGTTCCCTATTAATACTTATATAACGATTCTCAGGTCACAGGAGAGAGGTAAAAAAAAGTAATGACTGCATTAAACTTTATTTACGGGGCACTAGTAGAGAAGTAATATTAAAGTTATAATTAATTTTCCTGATGCTCGATCGGGTCGATAAGTTCTATTACTCGAGTTCTTATATAGGTTTGTAGTGTGCATATACTGATTAGTCTAAATGAAAGTAAAGTCTTTATTGATAAATGCACAACCTTTTTATTATTATTTCAATCCTAATCCTTTTTTTTGAGTCCAAGAGTCATAGTAAGACAAAGTACGCGGGGGGCACTACCGTGCGCCGTTCTAGTCCTCGTAAAGGAGATGGGTGGTTACATAGTTGTATATAGAGGGATGCGGTAAGCGTTGAAAAACGTTATCTCAAGTTTTTAGCAAAAAATTTCATTAGAAAGAATTACTCCGCTCAAGCACGAATAATAAGCCGGCCGTCATTACATACGACTGACTATTGTTAGACAACGAGACTTTGTGGTATCGTTAAAAATCATCTTACCAGTAAAGCGCACTTCTTCGTATAAGTGTCAGGACTTACACAATGATTTCCTGCTCCCCTAAGGGAGGAGATCACTTTTTTACCTGGTCAGAAATCTAACAGATTGAGGGTTCAGTTGCTTCAGTTCAGAACCGCTAACCCCAAGAAAATTGATTATTATTGAATTGGATGAGTTAATAAATTATGGATATCAAAAATACCTGTTCTCGCCTCATGTTTCTATTCTTCGCCCTATAAATATAAAGCGAAAGTAAAAATGAAGTCATAAAAGTGGAAAGAGCGTTAGTACTTGATACCTTAACCCTACCATAGTCGCACCACTTATTTAGACCGTAGTCGCAGCAGGTCTCTCAAGACTTCTTGAATTTTAAATTTTTTACTTACATTGAATAAAATACCATCAATTTTTGAACATTTTTTGCTTATTGAGATATTAGATACAGGTTACACTAAATTTTAACTCTATCTAATTTGAAATTTATAAACCAAAATCAAAATGGAATGGATGCATTCATGACTTAGTCTTACATTTTTAATTTTTTTTTTAAAAATTGCATGTCACACACCATATGTTATTGCTGAAAAAATAAAAAGAAAGTTGATTTAAGGTAAAAATATGAAATTATAGAAAACAGTTTTTTAGAGGGGCATCTCACTTGACTAAATATTAGCTATTTTTTCGCAACTATCGTTAAAAATAAAAAAGGAATATTCTAAAAACAAGTACATTTACATTTTGCGCAATAATATTCGTTTTTAACCTTTACGCTTAGAGTAGTTTTTCTATGGTTGTCTCCTTCTTGAATCTCTTCCGGTTCTTGAATACCTAATTTTATTTATTCTAGCAAGTATGTTTCATGGAATATTTTTGTTCATCTCACACCCTCTCAAATGTTCGTCAATAAGTGATAAAATTTTTCTTCTTTTCATAAATATATTTTGGTCAACGTTTCCCTCATATACAAAGAGAATTTATAGCAACCACTTTCAGCACCCTGAAGAATACTACCATTGGCCACCGCCTTGTGTTGCGGAATGATTTATACAAAGCACCTAAGTTGCGACCATATCTGCACCTCCCTTGGTTTGGTTGTAGCTTGTTACTATCTCAGCTTTCTGTTTTTCTCCAGTATTCTTATCAGTGCTGTCAGTTTCATGCCAACTTAATAACGCTAGCACGGCATTTCCTTTTTTGGGATTGTACGAAACTAGTGTGAGGTTTATTTTTAAACATGAAAAAACGGTGGACGGTTTTGCCAATGAGAAATAGCGGAGGTATTACTCGTTTATTCTTTCTAATTTTAAGATTAGTCGGTGGTTCAGTAATATAGCATCCACTAATTAACCAATTATATATGGTAATGCTTCTACCAGTATTCCACACTGGTTCACTAAGTGGTTTTGGCAGTACTAGCAGCAACATTATTTACGTTGAGCGGTCCCTCCGGTTGATTTCCGTCGTATACCTCCATATTTTTAGTATAGTACATCCCCTCTGCCAGAGCAAAAATTTTGACACCGCATTTATTTAATTTACTTGGCATAAACTGTTTAAAACTGCAATTCCCCCTAATATCATTTTTTATGTCGGATACTCTGATGGAACATAAAAGTTTTTATAATTTTCGACAAAATTTTCCCGTATGGTTTATCTGTAGTATTCTTTTCGGTCCGGGTACCTTTACCGTCGAATCGTATGTACCTCATTAGAAAGCGGGTCCCACAACAGACATAGTAAGTCTGAAGATTTCTTTTGGCCCATAGTTGCTCAATGTTTAGCCTAACGCTCTTGGTAATACCAGCGAGATGCAATAAGCCAAGAAGAGCTAATATTTCACTTCGACCAGTTAATTTAGCATCTCTTTCCCGAGCGAAGTCTAACATAGTGGATGAAATAAATTTATAGGTGTTTTTAAAAATTACGTCAAAAATTTCTTCATCAAAAAAAACAGTTCCAACAATCTATAGGAGTTCTTTTTCCCCATTAGATCGAGCAGTTACTCCGGGTAAATAAGTTACTATAGGTTGTGCTTGCAATAAAGTTTTTTGGAGGAACCATTTTTCGCCACTAAATATCCCCGTCTTTCCCGGAATATCATGGTCCAGCGTCTACTTCATTTTCGTTATCTGATAACTCTTCCCTCGTGTCAGATTCTTGAATCCGGGTTTCATAACTGCCGCTATCTTTGTTAATATGCTCGCCATCATCATCAAGTATCTCTTCGTCGGTCTGAACTTCATCAGGCAAACGTAAAAGATGAGCTTATTTTGCTTCATAACTCCACATTATAATTTTCTACAAAAAAAAAATTGAATGTTGCAAAAAACCTATACTAACGTTTTACAATCTTACCCCATAAACTAATATCAAAAATAAAACAATAGTTACACAGTAACACCGTTAGTAATCGGAGGGGGTTTCTCTGACTTTCATTTCTGGTATCCCGAAGTAACTTACGTAAACTGATGCGATTTGTTATCAGCCTTAGAGAGTACTTTGTCGGAAGGTACCGAAAATGGTCGAGCGTAATATCTAATAATTCATGAGGTCCCTCCGAATTTAGAATTTCCAGATTTGTGAAACCCCTTGCGACTACTGGAAGATTAATGAATGATTTCTCCCCTTTAAAGTGGGCGTCCACTCTTTGACTTAGTGGGTTTTTAACAATAAAAAGGAACTTGCTTTATTTCATGTCTAAAGAAATTTCATTAAGATACCAATTAGCCAACGCAACGCGCTGCATATCTTTGTTAAAATCGTTATGTCTAGTAAAGTAAACACTTCTACAGTATAG